AATTAGAGGAGGCCAACAAAACAGACACTATTATTTTTATATAGTATAAAGAGACAGCCTCAAATTTTTAACGTATCACAACTTGCAAATATCTTTTTTTTTTAAAGATTTTTATTGGGGAATTGGGGGATGGGAACAGCGCAGGGGAATTGGGGGAAGGGGAACAGACAAGTTGCTGTCCTTTTGTTCTTCAGTCTAGTTGTGAAGAACGTCGCTTCACTGGCCCAAGTTGGCACCATCACTGCGCTCTTCCCAGGCGAGGCAGATCGGTCACCGGTCACTGGAAGGCCGCTCATGGCGGCTGCTGGCTGCTCACGCTGGCTGCTGGTTACACACGGTAGCCCATGGCAACCCACTGCAGCAGGGGCTGCAGCCTACGCCATTGCAGGTGACTCATGGCAGCCCAGCTCCAGGTTGAGCTGTTGTTCAGCATCTTAGCTGTAGAGGGCAGTGTCACTGGCTCTCATATATGGGATCTGAACCGGGGCCCTCTGGCGTCCCAAGCCAGCTCTTAACCAACACACCACTTGGCCAGCCCACAAATATCTATTTTTAAAATATATTGTGAAATTAATCACTTAGATTGCTAGTTATTTAAAAAACATTTTATTAAGGTGCAATTAATATAAAATTAACCATTTGAAAGTGAACAATTTATTGGCATTATGGCATTTACCAGTTGTGCAACTACCACCTTTATCTAGTTCCACATCATTTTCATCACTCACAGTTAGCATCCATTACCCCTTAAGCAGCTTCTTCACATTTTCCTCTGTCCCCAGTCTCTGGAAACTGCCAGTCTGCATTCTCTTTCTGTGGATTTAATTATTTTGTATATTTCACATCTCTTTCAATAATGTCTTTACTATTCAGGGCCCTTTGCAGTTCCATATTTAAATTTGATCTTTTTCATTTTTCAAAACAAAGGTTTTTGGAATTTGGATAGTGTTTACATAGAATCTATAGACTATTTTGGTGAATATTACCATCTTAAATAATAAAATCTCCCAATTCATAAACATGGAATGACTTACCATTTATTTAGGTCTTCTTTCATTCCTGTCAGCAATGTTGTATAGTTTTCAGCCTACATGAAAACATTCACCTTCAGTTTATTCCTAGGCATTTTATTCTTTGGATGTTATTATAAATGGAATTATTTAAAAATTTTTCTTTCAGATGGTTCATTATTGGCGTATAGAAACACAACTGATTTTCGTGTGCTGAAACTGTATACTACAACTTTGCTGACATCATTTTTAACACTAGTGGTTTTGTCTTTGTGTATTTTACAGAATTTTCTATATATAGGATTATGTCATCTGCACTTAGAGACAATTTCCTTTTTTCTTCTCTATTGTGTACTTTTTTATTTTTTTAAAGATTTTTATTGGGGAAATTGGGAGATGGGAACAGCGCTGGGGAATTGGGGGAAGGGGAACAGACAAGTTGCTGTCCTTTTATTCTTCAGTCTAGTTGTGGAGGACGTTGCTTCACTGGCCCAAGTTGGCACCATCATTGCGCTCTTCCC